ATAATAATTTTAAAGTTGAGTTTAGTTAGTTTTTTTCACGAATATTTTACTTACTTTCTTTTTTTTTTAAAAAAAAACAATGTATTCTAAAATATAATCATAAAATATTCTTAACATAAGACAAAAAAAAATGCCTTTTGTTTTACTTTACCTAAAAAATATAAAAAGTTATTCTTTTTAGATTATCGTGACACTTCATAAAAGAATCGATAAATAAACAAAAGATTGGCTAGCAAATTTGGAAATCCCTTGTCAGTAACTATCGCCAAACCTTTCTATTGTATCCCTTATACCGTATTGGCTCGCCAACTTATCACAAAAAAACATACTATCTAAGAATACTCATGCAGGAAAAAAGAACTAAATGAAGAGCTTTTCTTTGTCACGTTCTCTCTGAGAACTTATAAAGAGGGAAGATTTCTTAACGCGACAATCTGCCAGAAGTGATAAAAGTTTATCGCCAAAAGATTTCTTTTACACAGAAACCGCTTTCGAACAGTCATTTGTTAGCTTGCTCATAGATATTTTAACACGTTCTTAATAATTAAGTTTCCTTATTAACAAGTTCGTGTTAATGAAATAATTAACTTCTTTCAGTTTCATGATCTCATTATTATCGATGTTTCTTAATTAATTACGCCTTATTTCTTGGTTTTAGTGCAGCTTCTTCATAAAACTCGTTTTGATTTTATCCAATTAGATTAGTTTCCATATTTGTAATAAAACTCTATATCGTTGTACCATAAAGTGTTTTAATTAATTGGGATTAGATTAATATTGAAATGCTACTGCCAAAAGTTATTTTATTTTGAATAGTTAATATTAACTTAATTTCATTACTTAGTTTGCAAATAAAAGGGATTGTAGTACGTCTACCACTACAAAAATAAGATTCCAATTCACTTGTATATAAGACATGTTAATTCTATGTTGGGGAACCTTTTCATAGAGGAATGTTGACATGACACTCCCCATATTGGTGACCTTCGTACGTGATGTGAACACGCTACCTTTGCAGAAACTAGCAACTTCGATTTAAACACGCCTACTTAGATGGATGGTCCACATTGAACAGTTGACTTGCTACTTGTGACTGCGACATTATCCACCTCCTCTCGCTGTTGTTACTCAGTCTCGATCACACACAGCGTCAGCTTGTATACACTCGACTGCTAATGGCAACACTGGAGAAACCACGACAGTGAACTTAATACAGCTCTCACGATCAGCATTTAAAAGGGCGGTAATCTCAATACAGCTCTCTCAGCTTATCACAAAACAGCAATGAATCAACTAATGGTATCCGTTTATCGAATTCTATCACAGATATAATTCTGGTGGGGGAGTACTGTAGTGCGTCTACCACTACAAAAATAAGATTTCGATTCACTAGTATATAAGACGTGTTAACTCGATTCTATGTTGGAGTACCTTTTCATAGATAAAGGTTGACGTGATCGATGTGACTATTTCCACAAGGATATTAGTTGAATCACATAAACATGCTATTTAATAGCAGAAAATACTGCGAAATAAGTTGTAATTTAAATGGCACTTAAAGAAAAACATATAGAGCCCGTGATTTCAAATGTATGGTGTAATTACATTAAGATGTGGCGCAACCTAGGCAAAAAAAAAAATATTTCACTTAATCCAACATAGTGATGAGAAAATTTTGTAATACTGCCTGCACTCCTTTCGTTACAGGAAAAAAAACAGAATCGAAAACACTTAGTCACACGATTAACAAATACTTTTGAATTTTAGTTTAAGAAAGAATTGTTTAGTGTTCAGAAGAAAAAAAAACATATACACACACAGTCAGACCAATTCAGCTTCATGTGCATGGAAAATTAGATTAGGGAATGTGGTCCGAAAATTTATTAATGATCGATTTTGGAGTGTAATGATTATAACAGATTAACTTTAAGAATTGGAAATATACAGGAGTTTAATCTACGTGCAAAACGGAGTTTTTGCCATCATTATAAGAGCTTCTGTTCTGTTAAGCCTAACTCGAGTTCGTCTACATATTTATTTTTTGCTATGTTAAATTCGTAAATTAATTTTATTTTAGGAATTAGTGTCTGTATACATTCTAAACTAGCTGTTCTTACTTTAAATTGCACTATAAAGGCAATTTTACTGATTCATATGTGTATTATACCTTATTTTTATTATAAACTTATGTGTTACTGCATAAAAAATGATGGCAATTACTTTGCATAAAATTATTGCCAGGAAATATTCCTGGTATTCTATGACACCAAGATTGATGATTGATTTCATCAAGAATCATATCTGGTATTGCACTACAGCAATTTTCGTATAAAATAATTACTTCATTTGGTGTTAAAATGCACTAAATGTTTTATAGTATGTAGGCAATTAAATTTTTTTATATTTCGCGGTTGTCATGGAAACATTTATTAAATCATCATTAATCCTTTGTTAATTTAAAGCCAAATTAATTCAATTAAAAAGAAAACGTTTAAAGTGATAACTTCGCCATTTTTTAACTCATCCATTTCAACTATCTATAATTCGGTGTCGCTAATACCAAATCACGTTGTGGTTAAGAGAAACTTTTCAAATATATTTAATAATTCCCACTTTTTTAAAGTTGGCCCAGCTGAATTACGGGATATATTTAAAAAGTAGACACAATTGTAAAATTATTTAAATCAAAAGCAACATTGTCGTTGTTGGATTTGTGCATTTAATAACAAAAGATTTAGGCTTCAAATACCGTGAATCAAAAGTTATCTATGAGTACAAAAGCATATTATACCTCTACGCATTTTATTCGATTTCATTACTGGGGATGAACAGCTAGCTGATTCGCATAGCTGTCCCCCAACACATTTAGAAGTTTCATTATAATGGTCAACTGCAATTAACTTAAATGTCCTAAGCTCTGTCAAGAAGAGCTTTATTTCAAAGCGGTTTCAGTCAAGAAATCTATCTCTTTAAATCTTAACTTTAGTGGACCTACAGGGGTGATTAAAGAATTCAAAGTGGAACTGATTACGGGTGTTTCTGTTCCATTTCCGTATTTCTCCCACTCCCAATAAATTCTAAGAGGTCAGCGAATTTAAGCTGTGACCTCTTAGAATTTATAGGGAGTAGAAGACATAATCTCTACTCTCAACAAAAGAAGACATAAGCTAGTGTTAAATGTTATAAATCTAGTATATGTGGACAAAAGGTAAATTTTATTATTCAAAAATATGAAAGAATTAATGTCTAACTAATGCAAGTTCTCAGGAAAATCGATTTAGTGTTGAACCAAAATGACTATAATACGATGCAAATTTCCAACAATCTTAATAAGGTTTTAAATTGAACAGTGTTTCCTTACTAGTTGTAACATATCATTGTGTTAATAAGTTTAAGAAGTATGACAGCATGGTTTAAATTAGTATCATACAGGGACCATGACATCATGACAGCATGGTTAGATTAGTATCATACAGTAGCAAATATGAACGAAATTGTGGTTTTACAAGTTCTAAAACTTTTAACAGTGTAAATCCGTCTCCCTTTTAGGTAATAGCCATGGAAAGGTTCATAAAAATTTCAGAAAAAATTTTTATGATTTTGAATGTACTATACAGTACTTTCAAACATGTAATTCAATTATTTTAATTTTACTAAAGTGTTAACTTGAACTTTGTACTGCTTAATTAAAATATACAATAGCACACTGAGAAAAAAAGTATGGTAAAAATACCAGAATATGGTAAAATTTACCTTGTATTTGGCTCTATGGGAACATTAAAAATTTCGGTTATAATGGTAATGATACTTATAAAATGTGACAAATGGGGTAATTTTAGCATAAAAACCATTCATTTGGTTAAATTTTACTTTTCAATTTTGTAGTTTTTACTAAATGTGTGGTAATAAGAACTATAATTTTGAAAACCAGAATTTTTGGTTCACCACTACCATATGACAGGAAAATTTACAAATTAAATGTCTTAAATATCGGATATTTTGTTTTTAAAACCAGATTTACGCTGTTGCTTTTTTCACCAGAAATGTTACATTTCTATACAGTACGGTGGGTTAACCAGATTGTTTTCTCTGTGTTTATTCAATTTTAGGATTACACAATATGATTCAATAGGTCCAAAAAAGCTTTTTGATGTAGGTTAATTTAGCAGAATAATAACTTTAAAAATCACGATCGGGAAATATTTTTATAAACCACTTTATGAAATAGGAGCTTGTTTATTACTGTGTAACTGAAATAGGAATATCTTCTTCTGTAAAGGAATATATTTGCATAAGGGTTTTTACTGCTCGAACTTTAGTACTTTGTCTAAAAAAAGAAAATTACTTTTCGTAGAACAAAACGGTTATCTGAAGTGCTGTTTTTTAGACAAAGTAAAAAATTATCCTTATAACATATAAATTTTAGAAAACACAACATACTTTCAAGAGACTTTTCTTATATGTGAAAACAATTTTTTAAACAAAATTTTCTAAAATTGTAATAATAGTTCATTCTATACTAAACTTTTTTTACTTTATCTTAATGTAATTTTTGTTTCAGTATCCTCAAAAATATACTTTGCGTATTAATCATCAAGGATACCAACCTGTATTTACCATTTAAATAACTAATTTCAAAAGATCATTCTTTTTAAACAATAATTTGAGTTTAAGTGAAGAAAGTACACGCATTCTATATAAATAGTTCCTGAAGGATACCAAACTATATTTACCATCTAGATAACTAGTCTTGAAAGACCAATCTTTTTTATAGAATAATCTAAGTTAAAATGCTGCAGTTACCTGCATTCTAGGCCAATCAATTGATCATGAAGAATACCAACCGGTAGTTCTGATGCAGTAGTTATATTCCTTATAGGCAAATTGATCATGAGGTGGTATTTACCATTTAGATAACTAGTTTTGAAAGATAAGTTCTTTCAACGAATAATCTAAATTTCTTGTCAGTGTTTTGTAAAGAGTGGTCATTTTATTTTCAGATCCGTGTGAGGGCGTTGATTGTCCATCATCTCAAGTCTGTCAGTTAGATGAGCTCAGAAATCCAATTTGTAGATGTACCTCTTCCTGCAGTTCAGACATCAGACCTGTATGCGGATCAGATGGGAAGACATACACAAATGAATGCAAACTGCGTGTGGAGGCTTGTAAAGCTAGGAAGAGCATCCGAATTATTTATGCTGGAGAGTGCAGTGCTGGTAAGATTATTCTCTGTAATTATTCTAAACCACTTACCTATTTAGCCACAATGTCTTTTCGCAGAAGAACATATTTCTTTGAGTAAATTAAAGAGTGGTAACACAAGCGTTTAATTATTAATATCTATTTTGAAGAAGAATGATTGTTCTGTTCACTATAATCTTACTATCTATCTATCTACAAACACCGAAGAGCCATTACATTATGACCACCCTCTATCTATAACAATAGGCTCGCCAAGGTTTTCATGGTTTCTCCACTAGGAGCAATGTTTTCATGGGGCACATTAGGACCCATAATCCTCATAGAACAATCCCTGACGTCTGTAAGCTACTTGAACATAGCTACAGACCAGGTTCACCCATTCATGGCAAAGGTTTTTCTGTAGGGGATGGTGTTTACCAACAGGATAATGCACTATGTCATAAGGGTTGAATCATTGAGGAACATTCCAGTGATTTTCAAGTCATGTCTTGACCCCCAAATTCACCTGACCTTACTCCAATAGAGCATTTGTGGTCCTACTTAGGAAGCCAAATTCAAGCTGCCATGCTATCCCCTCGCAATGTGAGGGAAATGGAGGACCAGTTGGTGAACGCTTGGTACCAGATACCTCAGACTACTTATCAGCACCTTGTGGAATCAATGCCACGGCGGGTGCTAGCAGTTTTGAGGGTTAAAGGTGGTCCTACATGTTATTAGAAGGGTGGTCATAATGTAATGGCTCTTCGGTGTATATATATACGATACTTAAGTTTCTGACTCGAGAGGTGCGTGAGGAAGCAGTACAGCACGCAATGGAGCAGTGGGATGAGCTTCTATTTTATCTCAAGACAAACAGAGAGGGAAATAATTTTAACACTTTAAGAGCTCATACTTGTAGTGGGTTTTGCAATTTAATGACTTCCGGGAAGATTTAAAATTTCTATTACTAAAATTCAATGCGTATTCAACTTTGACAATATCGCGAACATCTCTGAAAAAATTTTAAAATTGAAATCAAGGGACTAGTATAAACACTGTTGTGCTGTACATTCGGCTTGTTCACCATTTAAGTTTACAAGATAATTTTAAATGTTGTGCAAGATAATTTTGAAAGGTGACCACGCTAGTAGCCAAAGGCGACTAATATATGAATAATATAAATTTTTACATAAATTTTTATATACATTTGAATCAGAGAAAGGTACTTTATAACATCTAAACTGGTAGGAAATTAAAAAAAAATTGCTACTTAGTTTGAATTTATGAACGTACAAAATTACTATGTTTTTAATGAAAGTTTTTTTCCCTTCATAATTGCAATATTATTTGTCGGTCTTAATGTATAACTATGTTTCAGATACCATCAATTTAAAAACAAATATCGCTAATCTTTAAAACTGAATCGAATAATATCTTTAGGTGCAAGTAAAGATATGTGTATTCAACTTATTTTACAGTAAACGGGGGGAAAATCTTAAAATCTCAATGTATTTTTATTTCTAAAAGAATAATGGCGTTATACATTGTTATAAGAAGGATTGGAAATCGATTCCAGGGGCCAATCCATGTGAGAGTTTAGAATGTGGACCTAATGAAGAATGTGATATAGATCGATTCGGCATTGCAACTTGCCAGTGTCCTCCAGTTTGTGAGACAGTCGTTAAACCAGTTTGTGGAACTGATGGTCATACATATCAGAATGACTGTGACTTGCATCGACAATCCTGCCTCAAGAGGAGAGAAGTCACTCTTGCCTACCAAGGAGAATGTGGTAAATTATAGCCATTTTAATAATATTATTAATTTGCAGATTGAAGATATTATTAATATAGAGAAAAAAGTATGAGTTTACTGAGGAAAAAAATATCATCAAAACTGTCAAAATACGGTAAAATTTTTTAGTTCTATTGAAACACTAAAAGACTCGGCATTTTTTACCGAAACGCTTTGGTAACGATTTTATTTTATTTTATAACCGTCGTTGAAACGCCGACCCAATTTTTTGGTTTACGACTGCTAATGTTCAACTTGTAATTTTGAACCCAATCCAGAAGACAAGGAAACTTCTGGATCAAGTATTGGAAGAAATTTGCCTTCGTGGAGGACTTTCTTATGGAATTTGCGTTACATGGAGAGGAAGAATACGAGAACCTCCCTCGGTTAGCCTGACGGAAAGGGGACTCTAACCCATGATCCGTCTACAACTGAGAATATTTCACGTCAGCACTGTGGTCAGTGCAAGTCGGATGCGGAATTCGTATCGACTGGGATTCGAACCCGGTTCGCCTTATTGGAAGGTGCATGCTCTATCCTCTGAGCCATCGTGGCTCTGCTAACGATTTTAGAAAAATTAACAAGAAAATATGATTTTATAATATGTAATAAAATTATGTAAATCTGGTAGTTTTATCATGATACTTTAGAGCATGGCACAAAAACCATTTACTCGGTAAAATTTATTTTTAAATTTTGTATTTTTTTTCCGAAAGTGTGGTGATAAGAACTATAGTTTTAAAACCAGAATTTCCGGTAAACCGTTATTATATCAACGAAATTTTGAATTTTGAATTGACAAAAATTTTCTTTCTTTCTTTTAAATATGTGTTTATCAGAAATGTTATTACCATATAGCACGTTAAATTTAGCAGAACTTTTTCTCCGTGAAGATATTCTAAATAGTTTTTAAGAATATATGAGACAAATTTAATCACTGCAGTTAAGAATACTAATTCACAATACTTTGAAAAAAGAAATTCTTTAAATTTTATATTGATAAGTCCGATGATAAGAAGCATTTTTTTGACACACAAATACTTACTCATAATTGTTTTAGGGAAATAAAATATTTTACTTTGAATATTTCAAACGAGCAAAATCTAACTTGTAAGTTATAAAATATACAGAATTTAAACACTTTTCAGCAGCTTAAATTTTGATACAATTCCGACAAGTTACACCTTCTTTAAGGCAGTAATCGCAAAAATGTATACTGAATTATTATTTCTGTCTTCAACCCAGCAGTTATTACAATGAATATTTTATGATACGAAACTTGCGTTATTAAATCTCAAAACAAATCTCTAACATGCTTTTTTTTTCTTCAAAAAAATAACGAATTACCTACTCTTCGTCTCTCTTGCGATTTATAAAAACTAATGGAACATACCGAAGACAGAACAAAACCTTAGAGAAAACAAAAAGGTAATACTTTTTTACGAAACAGAGCTAAAGACAGATTTTCTTTAACTCTACATTCTTTTTTTTTTACCCTCCAGGAAAAGATATAAACTCAGCTAACTGGAAATGACTGCGGAAACAAGGATATAAAAATACATCTGTAAAAGTTTTAAGTATTAGGATATATAGAGTATCCATCGTCTTCGAATTTCAGGTTTGAGTTATTGCTGCACTTAGCATATTACAAATTTCAGAGAAAGCAGATATTCTTTGATATATTTCAATCAAAATGAAACTTGATATAGAAGCAAGCTTATTATTTTTACTTTATGATCAATATTCAGATATTTCAAGAAATACTATTTTTAAAACTTCCAAAACTTTTAGGCCTTTACAATTGTAAAGATCGGAACAAAAGGTTAAAATCTAAGTGAGGGGCCATTCAAATAATACGCAAACATCTTTTAGGAAATTTCTGACATCAATCCCCCTACATGCTTACTTAAAATGTTAACTGTTAACTATATTTACCAAAGATAAATTTTAACAGAAATAATCTAATTTTAAGAATTTTTATTAATAAATAGGGATATTTTGCTATTTTATGCATGCTTTCGTAAGCTCCCGTATGTAAGATTTGAAGCAATTAATTTAGATGCTTCGTATTTTTTCATTACGTTAGTGTGGTTAATGTTACTAAGACAAACTTACAAGCACGCTGTTCATAGCTGTTAAATGTTTGCTGTTTTCTTCTTAAGCATACTTTCAAACTAAAAACATGTACAGCAAGTAAAATAAAAAAATAAAAAATAGACCAATCTGAAAAACTTTTGATCACAACAATCGGATTTTCTCGTCCTGGACTCAAACTCAGTAGCTCAAGAGGGTGAGCTCAAATATGCTAATTAATTAGTGCACATGATTTCTTAAGCTACGGAAATAGTCCCAAAAACGTACTTTCTCTAACTATACGTACCTTTTTTTCCATTAATTCGGATTTATGATCTTCAAAATATAAGGGAAAATATCTAGGAAATATGATCCCAAAAGTTTGATCAGTAGAGTGGTCCAAAGTTGGGACCCCTTAATGTTTATCTCATTTTTTGCCACATCTCGAAAACTTTTTAAGTGAATTAAAAAGTTGTTTGCATACATTATTAAATTTTATCCAAAAATAATTCCATACAAAAAATAACTTTTAGTGAATATTTATTATTTTTTTAATAATAGTTGAAAAAACTTTGTAACTGCTAAGTCTGCAGTTTTTTATATCATTTTAAGGAAAGTAAATTTACATAACAAAATAAGACATTTTAGCAAAATCGGTCGAATAGTTCCTGAGAAGTCGAATTTTAAAAATACGAAATCCGAGCATTTTAAAATCCGAGCATATTAAAAACGAAGCATTTTGATTCGTAAATCACAGATTTGAATTTATTCACCGAGAGTACGTTTTGTGTTTGACTTCATAATTTAAAATTTCATCTGTAAAATCGTCTTTTAAATTCTTCCTTTTAAATACTTATGCAATACTCGAGCAGCCTCTTAGAAATAGTATTAATACAAATTTTAACCAACAAAGTATTTTTGAGTGATGAAGCAAAGACATACATTGTAAACATTTTCAACTTATAAAATTTATAAAGCATTTATTTTCAACCTAATAAATTATTCATAGTAGTCAAAAACAAAAGAAAGAACAAGATTTGAATTTCATGAATATTTCAGTTAAAAATGCTAAAAGTTTAACCATTGGGAACTGATTTTAGTGAAGAAAAAGTTTGCTCATTGCTGTCACGTTTTCTTCAAATCTAATGCACCGATCTTGTTTCGAATCGAGTTTCAATTTACCCCTTAAATGATTTACTCCTTTAATCCTCTAGCAACATGCAGAAACTTTGACCAATGTTGAAGTTGAATATAGGTACTTAAAATCGCAATATCGTGCAAAATTGCAGTGATATTTATAACATATTTAATTGAAAGGTGTTTCAATTTTAGTTGAAACTTAGTCTGGTAAAATCAAGTTTAAAAGGAATTGAATTGCTCGATTATATGCTTCAATTTTACTTTCTGCGACCTATTGTTCAGAAAACTCTAATCATTTGTTTTAAGAGAAGTTTTGTTTTAACCCATGAAATACTGAAATAGCATACAATAATAACAGTAAACCTTGAGAACTGATAAAATTGATATTTAAGCACAACACCTATAATACTCTGATCCATTATCAATGGTCACTTTTACACTAAAATAAAAGTCAAAATTACCAAAATATGGTAAAATTTACCGTGTTTTCGTTCAATGAGAACATAAAAAAAGTTGGGTAACTCTTACCGGAGCGTTTTGGTAATGATTTTTGTAAAATTAACATTAAAATAGGGTTTTAAAATATATGATAAAATTTTGTAATTTACTGTTTGGTAATTTTATCATGATACCTTAAAGAAGGGCATTAAAAACTATTTATTCATTAAATTTACTTTTTATTTTTTATTTTTTACTAAAATCGTAGTAATAACAACTATAATTTTGAAAAGCAGAAGTAAATTTACCAAAACACATACCAAAACACATTATAAACAGTAAATTTACCAAATGAATTATGCAATTATCATATATTTTGGTTTTATTACTAGAATTGTGGTTTTTCCTTTCTAACAGAAATGTCAGTACCACACCGTGTGGTAATTTTATAAGAATCATTTCTCCGCTTGAAATCTGCCATTAATGTAATATAAAATTTAATAATTAATTTTTTAAATAGGTTCTTGACAGTGCCTTTTGTAAAACCAATCTTAATAAACAATGGGGAAAATAACATTATACGTTTATGAAATCAATCGCTAATGTTCAAAATTTAATAACAAATTTCCAAATTACGATTTTTGACAGTGCTCAGTGCTTTTTATAAAACCAATCTTAATAAACAATGAAGAAAATATCATTATACGTGTGTAAAATCAATCGCTAATGTTATATATAATTTAATAATTGCTTTTTAAAATAGGTTTTTGACAGCGTTTTTGAAAAACCAATCTTAATAAACAACGAAGAAAATATCATTATACGTGTGTGAAATCAATCGCTAATGTTATATATAATTTAATAATTGCTTTTTAAAATAGGTTTTTTGACAGCGTTTTTGCAAAACCAATCTTAATAAACAACGAAGAAAATATCATTATACGTGTGTGAAATCAATCGCTAATATTATATATAATTTAATAATTGCTTTTTAAAATAGGTTTTTGACAGCGTTTTTGCAAAACCAATCTTAATAAACAGTGAAGAAAATAACATTATACGTGTGTGAATTAAATCGCTAATGTTGTAGATAAATCAATAATTAATGTTTAAAATGAGATTTTTGTCAGCGCTTCTTATAAATCCAATCTTAATAAACAGAAGAGCGATGGCTCAGGGGATAGAGCGTTCACCTTCCAATTAGGCGAACCGGGTACGAATCCCTGTCGATATGAATTCCGCATCCGGCTTGCACCGACCACAGTGCTGACGTGAAATATCCTCAGTGGTAAACGGTTTATGGGTTAGAGTCCCCTTGCCGTCAGGGTAACCGTGGAAGGTTCTCGTGATCTTCCTCT